CATTTCACCATATATCAAACTCGGAACCTTCATGTTTCTAGTTTTATTGAATTCGCTATATCCATCCACCACCAACCATTGATATCAACAATATTGTTCTACCCTCTATATGTTTGAACTACACTAATCATAGCTTCTTATTTGGACTCCAGAGGATTTCGTCCTAAAGTTAATTGATCACTGATGTACATGTGATTATTGTTAGTAATAGTACAAAAGACGTACGGAGATTGTCTAATTCTCAGTTCCTTTTCTTTTTATAAACATTCATATTAATTGTGTTTTGACCACCATTTTTTTATTTTAAAAAATGACCAATCTCAAATCCCCACATCTTTTCACTTCACCTAATCAACTGTGAACTATTAACATATGTACAATATGAATCCTATCAATCTTAGATAATTGTTTCCTTTTAGAGAATTTAATTCATACAAAAATTGGTACGATTTCACAAACAAACAAAAATACATCATTCTACAAAACTTATTTAATCATTAAGTGTAATTCAATTATACTACTGATAATAGAGAAGTTTGTTTAGTCTCATTGTATTGAATTACGTTAATATGACTAATTTAAAAGTAATTTGTAAACATAATAATAACATTAATAATAATAATAATAATAATAATAATAATAGCTAAACCCAGTGAACTTTTATATACATATATACCATGATTATTCTTTGTTACAGTGTATCATCATCTCATTGTATACAATTCAAGCCTGAGGTTATAAAACTATCATAAATACAATTCGAGAATAATAATTCTAACAATGATAAATCAAATTCAACACTCTATCCATAGTTAACACATACATATGGAGTAATTCTCACGCTTTAATTTTTCTTTATTTTTTGTTGGCGGGTGGGTATTAACAAACTCTTATCAATACATAATTCGTTTTATACAATTTTATTGGTATATTTCATGATGATTTGATTGTTCAAAATAGAACAACAAGTTGATCCAGTTTTATTTTTATAATCATGTATTGATTAATTAATTAATTGGAACCAATTTTGTTATTTATCAGTTTATTAAATTGATTATTGAGATATTATTTAATAAAAGGGTTAATTCATGTTATCTAGCCTCCTTTTAAATTTAGCTTATTAATTATCTATGGTTTTATGTGATTAGCTTCAATACATAATATAAAATAGTATTATTATTGGATATCAGTCAGTCAATCAGTCAGCTACAACGTAGGACCAGGTTGTCATACCTCATTAGCACAGTAAGATGAACACTGGATTCATAGAAGTAGTTAATTCAATAGTGGTAATATATAAAAGAAAGATTGTGTATGAGGATATAATTTGGAAAGAAATAATTAGTTTGTAGAAAGAAAGGTATAAAGCAATTTTAATCTCACGGTTTAAGGGAATACAAACAGTGTATATACCTACACCATTGTGATCGATTCTGAACCATGTCCCCGAGTCTTCAACCATTAGTTACGATAGTCGTTTTTAGTGGGTCTTTTTATTTTGTCGTAATTTAGATCGGACGATGTTCGTCAAAGGGCTCTCCACTTTAGTGGCCCGTGATCTGACTCCGATTAGATCGTATGAATGATTGTTATCGCCTATCCTCGTATATAATCATTGACTTGAATCGCGTTAGTCCATAACGGAATTAAATAAGTCAAATAACGAGAATGAACTTTTGAATACATATATTTTGTATATGAAGCGAATGGGATGGCGAGAAGCGAAACGATACGCAGCAAAGATTTCCGGTAAGTCAACTTCCGTTTAACCAAGCATCAATCAATATTTATAGTCACATAAAAATAAGTCACAGACATGTGATAAGTAACGAGATAAGAAGTGTACACACCTACGCGCTCATATAAAAACAGTCAAGGTTGATAAGCGAATAATTAACAAGGTCAAAATATGACTCAAGTAGAAGGAATAGATTGGGTTGTCCGATAGCTAGAATAAGGTATATGGGCTTAACATAATAACCGACACTACAAATCTGCATCCATCAACATGGCTCAGACCAGAAGTTAGAAACTTCAAGCACTGATGCCACGCTTTCGTTCGTCCGCCCCTAACTTTCTTCCAACGATTCCCTACACTAGTCAGCATTGCGCGTTATGATAATCGGTGTTCAGGTATACGTAACACGTGGCTCAACCATCTCAGTCGATGAAGATTCATAACCTCAGCAACTGATATACCATCATTCCCTGATGCCCCGCGTCAAACCTCACTGTTACTTACCCGGTGATACCCAACAGCAATATTTCTAAGGCATCTATATTCTATATTATTGGATATAGAATATGTAAATGAGTTATGTATCTGGCGAATAGTTGTAAGAAATCCTACAGTTCATATAATTGACATATGACTCTCGTTTAATTCTACTTGGAGCTTGCCAGTTAAATGTACTTGATTCCCATTAATTATGTTCACAGTGACACCCGATCCCAGAACGTTTCACTTTAGATTCCAAATTCAATAGACATGTGAAGACGGAGACCGATGAATTTTGGTCTTTAACACTAATGTTGGAAAAGTACATCCTAGTAATGATATGTCCATATATGTTGGACGATAAAGTTACGACATGGATTTACTATCTCAATGGATAATGGCTTGGTAAATGAAGAATGAGGTTAATTTCCAAACAGGAAAGCAGGTACATTCATCTTATGAGTATTAAATAAGATGAGACGTCCCACTGATTGCCATATACCAAATATACTAGAACTTGTAACTGAAGGCTCTGCTGAGACACTCCTATAAGGATGGATATATGCCAATAAAGACTGAACGATTGTAGTCTTTAGTATCAACTGTGGGACATTTCAAACCATTAATAAAACTCTATACTTTGGTTTTGTGTTATATGACATTCATCATCAAGACATATCTAAAATATCGATAGAGATTATGCTCTCTGTATAACTTTGTGCTGCATTAACAAGTGCTGTATTCAAAAACTTTAAGATTGTTATTTGATCCGCGACTGATAGTCAATATGACTCGTTCAGCATCGAAGTCCGCATAACATATTGTTTATTATTCAGCTTTCAGTTACAGTAAATTTCTAGATAATACTGTAAATAATACTGGTCCCAAGTTGAATACTGCTGAAACACTCAACAAAACCTCAATTCCAAAAATTGATCTATGAATGTGTGATCAATTATTTTAGCTCCTGATGGTCAATTATGATCTGGAGGTTTAGGATTCATAGTCGATTTCGGAACTAGAATCTGAGGCATTCTGTTTGATTCAGCATTCTTGTTCCCAAAAATATCCAACGATAATCATTAAGAATTCATTCACTCAATAAATTATAATTCTAAAAAATCAGAGAAGGTTGACTACACTGTTATAGTGATTCGAGCGAAGAACTTACTGTTTGTTTATGTCTGTATATCCCAGTTGTAAATGTTAGGGACTGCAATTGATCAGTCACTTTAAGGATACATAAAACCTATTACACAAGTTTTTGGTATGTATGTTATGCAGCTATTAGTGGAATCAAGAATGAATGTCTCATTCTACTGGAACTTGGTCCATGTCCCAATGTGAACATCATCACTCCAAAGAATGTACATTCAGCCGACGAACTCCAAATAGGACGAAACTTATGTCCTGTATTCCAGTGCTAGCCACTATCCAACTTTAATTATGGACTTGATGATTTGTGTAATTTTCTAAAAATTCTATTAAAATTAAGTAGATTTCATACCTACTCAACTTTATGGATATTTAAAGCTGAAAGTTAGACAATACAAATCTATCTCTGCGTTGCCGAGAAGCATTTTACCCTGAACTTATTATGAATACAATGAATAAAATGACTTCATTAATCTTCAACCGTTATCATGATATTAATATACCTCATTTAGGATTCATAGGAATGGATCTATGAAGAGTATCTATTGTATGATAGTTTTTTGTTAGTTCCACTGGGATTCATCGAAAAAATAATACCCTGATCCTTAACAAACTTACAAATTTCCTAAACATATACTCCTAGATTATTTACAGAGAAATGATCTAATGTCAGAAAATCAGTTGAATACTAGTTGTAATAGTAAAATAAGTTGACGTTCCCATTTCGAATACGTTACTTTTCACTTTTTTATCCCCCTCACGTCGTGCTGTTCTGTCGTGATGCATGGTAATTAAACGATGTTTACACAAGATTATAAACTACCTGAGTGAATAATAGCTTGTACCAGGTCCGTATATAAGTGGACATAGTACTTTCCTGACCTGGAGGATGACTTTCCCTTAATTGAAAGTTAAATGTTAGATTTCAGAAGTTATAAGGAATAGTATTTATAGTGAATGACCTTGTCATATTAAAATTTGATTGACTGATATTCTATTGCTAAACAAAACTGCCCTAATGATTCGATATGGTAAGATAAACTAACCAATCAGGTTTAAGTTGTCGGCTATATTCAATACCCAGAAACAGATAACTCGTATCCTGTTAAAATCTGAGCTATTATAGTATTTAAAATTGATATACTTGCTCAGTGAATATGACATTTGCAAGCCAAATTGTAAGGAATTCTTGTTTGAGCGTACTTGATATGATTCAGGGAATAGTCTGAGGTGCTTACATGATTTCTAAACTTATAACATGATTTAAACATTTTCAGGTGACTCAAAATTTTTATAAATTTGAATTTGAAGAACTGTCTAGCTAAGTCTTTACTAGTGGGCTTAAAATAGGATTCTCTAACTCTAAACTCATCGCTTAACCCTAACCATAACTGCTAATCCTACCTCATTTCCTGACTCGTTTTTTTCACTTACAATACAAAAAAATTCGGCGTATAAAAGTCCATTAATTATGTCAAAACTATTTATCCAATGTAGTCGTTCCGTGGATTTATACTCCTGGATAGTTTTTATTATCACTGTTACACAACAGTTATCAATAACAGTTCTCCAATCGACGATAGTTTCTTATGTAACTTAACTTCAAGAGGATGAAAAATCTATTAAGTAGTCATTATTATTATTTATTAATTAATTAATATTAGTTAGTTATAAATATGTACATTTATTAAAATTATTTTACAAGAAAACCAAAAACAACAAAATAAATAAATAAATAATCGAGAAAAATAGGAGAGGAACTATAAAAGATGAGAGTAGTATTGGCAGTTTTAGTATTAGTAACCAAGTGAGGGATAGGGATTGTACCAAATTTACATTGTAACTTGTAAACGAAAAAAAATATTAAACGGTTATTTATTTAAATGAGAATATGCTACAATTCATGAGAGAGAGGAAAAAATATAGTTTTATACATAGTATTTACATAAACAAGAACACGCATACACACACAAACATAAGTATAATCACAGCCAATTTGAATGAATAGTTGAGTTGATTTTGTCTGCATACATGACTTTTCAATTGAATATATGTGATTCTTCTAATAATGAACTACTTCTTGATTTGACCAACGATTTATGATGATGGTGATGAGGAACAACAACACACTGATTGGTCATTTTGATAAGTCTTTCATCATAATTATCAATTTTACTATTGATAATCGAAGTATTATTGATTATACTTGATTTTAATTCATGATGAATAGTACCCGGTTTATGACGTTTCCATAAATGGAACGAATCAATTGATATATTATTAGTAGTATTATTTGTGTTTATTTTTGTTGTTTTATGTAAGTTATTTAATTGATCATTTTGTGATTCATTGGATTTCAATTGTTGAAGTGAATTTTTACTAGTTGTATTACTAGTGGATTTGGTACGATGAATATGACTAGAACGATTTGAATTTGATAGTAAATACATCTCATTCACTGGGTGACTTTGAATTAATTCATCTGAATCGTTCTGATATTTAGCACGTTTTTGAATAGTGGATTCAAGCTGTTCCTGAAATGACAGAAAATAATTGTAGACGGTTATAATTCGAAAAGAATAAATTAATTCGTAGATTAAATAGTATAAATTAATTATGAAATTGAAAATCTACGGTGAAGACAAGCACTGAACTTAATTGTACCTTCGTGATCGTTTCTCAGTCATACTACCCAATCTTCCTAAACATAAGTCACGATAATCGCCCCGATCAGAACCGAATAATCTGCACCTACCAACATAGATCAGTCTAACAACCACAGACTTAATGTACAGGTGATTTATTTTCAGCTGACTGCTCCTAACTTTTCTTCAACCTATTCCTTACATCATATGTTGAGGTAGGTGATTGTTGAGTACATGTAGTAAGTCTCAACCACCTTAACCGACGAAGATTAAAGATTTCATTCACCGTCTTAGTAAAGTCGTTGGTCCTAACATATAGGAGTAGTGCTTCGAATACTCTTATGATCAAATACTAGTAACCTATTAAAATGTCCTCTGATGATTGAAGGAGTGGTGAATAAGTATTTTGTAAGTTAATGTACCGGATACAAACTTACACCAACTGTAAATGTACATTTAGGTCTTCCATAACTTCTACATAATCAAAATTTTGCATGTAATCAAGCTGAATAGTTATTTCAGGAAATTTCAATCAAGTTGGACAATTCCAAAATAAACATTTGGGATACTTAGAAATGCTGAATTGAAATAACGTTTCATATCCAAGTGAATATGTCATAAAATGATTTCCAGCTACGTCAGTTACAGAAAAACCGTAACAAAAGTTTGGTGCACTTAACTGGATAATGAGTGAATAATTGTGATCAATTTTCCGCTTTGTTTTTTCAGTATGGGGATTTGGGGAGATTGTAGTATTTTAACAATCGAATTTATGAGTCATGATAAGCTAGATCACCATTCAAAATTTGCAAGCACTGGACAGCCTTTCCGTCATCGTACAGAACTCCTCAGTAGTGCGCATTCACGATCCCACACTAAAAAGACTCCAATCCAGAACATTCGGTCTCGTGTGCTAACATTTAGCCTCTAGACTGCTGATCTGATATCCGTCTTTGTTAATGTTTAACTTCAATCGATCACTGAACTTGTGCAAGTGTTCATTGATTGTCTGAGGTGGATAACTCTCACGTTTGATTAGACTCCCCTGGTTATGGTTTCTCACTAGAACTCCAGGAAATTCATCTTGAGGCTAGTCACTTGACTTGTGAATTCAACTTCGAAAATATTACAATCCCCGCAAATCCTGATACTGACAATAATCATGAGCTCAGTAGTACCTAACTTCAAGATGGATTTTTTAAAAATTAGAACATTAACCATAAATATTTATCACAATAATCAATTTAAAATGGTAACTTACCGATTGAACATGATTCACATTAGTTAATTCTTTTAATATCATTGACCGATCCTCAACTAGACAATACTGACTTTCAATATTACACTTTTCTGTTGTAGATTTACATTGTAGTCGAGACGCTGTTCTAGGTATCGGTGAATTACCTAAATGTGTTCTTAGACGACTACGCACCGTATTATAAATAATTGCTGGTAGATCTTCTAACTGATGTACCATTTTGATTAAATTTGTCAATGTATCTATACGTTTAGTTATTGAATTCGTGTAAGATTCAAAAGTGTACATATTATTATCATTATTACTGTCTCCTTTCAGACGACGGTGATTATGATGACGATTGGTAATTGTAATAGAATTATGAGATTTTTTGATTTTTAAAGGTGCACCAAACACTGCAAATGCTGTACATCTTGATAAACATTCAGCTGTCATTTTTGACATAACACTTAAATCATCAATTTGTTTGAATAATCTCAATAAACTCATGAGTAGATATCGTTCCGGTGTCGGTAATAACAATTGTAAGACAATACGATAAGCTAATAATTGTCTTGACTGACATAATACATACATCCAATCATCGTATTGACTATCGGATAATTTATGAACAATATCTTCATTATCATCGACATTATTCAGAGTAGTGGTACTACTACTACTACTACTACTACTCGTGGATTTTAATTTGTATTGTAGTTCAGTAGCTAAAAATAGAAGATTTCCAGCTTCAAGTGGAATTAAGCCCCCAGTCTGTTGATATTCACCATCATCATATGAATAAGGATTGTTAGCGTTGGTTGTAGTTTGATCACCATGACTATAAATTGGTGAATCAACCGTGGTACTGTCAAAATTTAACACTTGATGAATACGCTGGAATTCTGTACATGTAGTTAAACAACGTAATATTAAACTGGATATATCATGGGGTGTGTACGATTGTAATATTTCATAAATTTCTTTATGATCAATTATTGGATAAGGTGAAAGATTTTCATCAGTGACATCTGGATCAGGTTGAGGTATACGTAGATATGGATTTTGAAAATGATGGCTTAATTTTAACCATAATTCACGGATACGTAATGCACTGCCTGGTATACGAAATAAGCCTTCAGTTTGGCATAATTCTATAAATAGATAGAAAATAAACATATTTATTAGTTAATGACAAACTTAATGGTTAAATTATTTATATAAAGATATAATAAAGCGGTTTTAGAATAATTTGTATAATTTCAGAGTTAAATCAACTATGGGTTAATCTCTCGGATTGAACCACGGATGGTACTTTGTAAATAACCGATTGACACTTGTCTTACGGCCCATAAAGATGAGATTATTGATTGTACTGTATAATGTTTTAACTTCACCCTTCTCACTGAAGCTTTTAGGTATTCATCACGAAAAAAAGACAAATCACTAGAACACTAGCCTCATGATAACTAATTTAAACAATTTAGGATAGTAGTGTATTGACGATGACATTGTCGGAAGAATCAATGTTTCAGACTGTTGTAACTTATAGAATAATATTTTACTGAAATATCGGCCAACAAATTTTATGCCGATAAACAACGATTAACTTTTAAAAGATTATTCAGAGTAATAAATCTCTTCTTCAGTAAATGAATATGTATCATCTTTTGATATACTTTTTATTAATATTCGTCAATAAACTTGTATTATTAAAATATTACGGAACTATATAATGTTTAATCGAATTCACAAAATGATCATAATTGATATTTATGTCAAACAGTAAATTCATGGCTTATTTTCACCCCTAAACAGTATATATATGGATGAGATCATGAGTCAGTTGAAGCCATTGCAATTACTACAATGTCCACAAAACCCCTTCTGATATATATATATATATATATATATATATATATATATATATATATATATATATATTGTAGATATCGTTACCAAGGTTTGACTCGATAATTTCGCATTGGATAGATTGGTATAAAGAAGAATATTCATGTATTATTTTCTTTGTACTATTTAAACATGGATTAATTTTGATTTGGTTATTTATTCTCTGAAGAAATGGCTTACACTAAGTCACGAAACATCAGAAAATTTAATTTTTCTACTCATTGAAATATTAAAAATATATTATTTTATTCATAATATATATGTTGATTGACTTGAATACAATCTATAGTGCACTTGTTATATTCTTTATTTAATTGACATTCATTTATTAACAAACTAAACTAACTATTCTAAAAGAAAACAACAACAACAACAACATTGTATTGAATTGAAAATAAAATTTCTATGTAAGTGATTAACATCTCATCATCATCATCATTGTTCTGTTCAAATCTCATGTTCAATGAAATGAAAATGATCATTTAATAATCTTCATTTAAAGTTGTGTTGTGTTATTTTAATTTTAAAAAACATTCGTTTTTTTTGTGTACACAAACATGTACTTCATTTTACATTGCCATAATCGTTTTCTTTTTTGTTTAAAGCCATTATCATTAAACTAAATACTTTCTATATTTTATAATAAAGAGATAGCACACACACACATACATACATACACAACAATAAAAACAACATGTAAACGGTTTTCAAATCACAATCAAGAATATTGAACACACTTATTATAAATTGAACAGATCGTTTATCAAGGATAATAATTTTAAACCAGACGTTGTTAATTACCAATATATATTGTTTTATTCCATCGTAGAAACAGTAATCGTGTACGCATATACATACTGTTAGATAGATAGACAGACAGACAGATAGACACATTGACATATCACAATTATCACCCATAATACACAATATATATATATATATATATATATATATATATATAATAACTTACTAGGATTAGAAGTCATATAATCAATTAATGTTGCACAAATTGTTGAATCCACATTACAATATCGAATACTATAACCGGTATAATCATTTCTCCATTTTGATTTGATTTGTTGTAAATAATCATCTACTTTAGATGAATTTAATCTTAAGACAAATGGACAAGTTAATTGACGAATTGTTTCATTTGATCCTGATTTACAAAATAATGGTTGAACTTGTTGTTTAAAGAATAATTCTATAATGAAAAAAAATATATATATAGTGATTTATTTATTTGTTTGTTTTAATCTCATAGAATAAATTAACACATAATTATGTACACGTGACCTAATTTGATATTAAACAACATGATAAAGCCTTTAGGTTAAATAAATAGATAGACAATTAAATGACAGATGTTAGATAATAAGTTATGTAGTTAGTTGTGAACATTCGTGTGATATATATATTGTACTCGAATAAGGATTTTTTTATTCCCTAATGTGAATAAATCACAATGAATAAATGTGATAGACAATTTTCCGATCTGTTGATTTTAATTCATGTTGTGTTTTTCTTTTTCTTTCTTTTTGATCTGTAGATTATGTTCGTTCCTAGTTTAGTCTAATTTGAAGTATTAATCGAAATGAGAAAATGATATATAGATGTTTGGTACTAGTAAGGGGATATTTTAGAAATATTCACTGCCATAATTCATTCAGAGGATCGATTTCTGATGATACTTTAATGGAAGTCAATCTGTGATGAATACAACCTTTATAAGTCCACTTTAACTAAATTATTGATGACTAAAAGAAGACATTTGTTTCATCTAACAGATGAAGTTTGAAATAATAGTATTCATATGACCTACGATTAAACATATAAATGATAAAGTATGAATAAGAAATCGTGATAGTTTTCAGTGAAGGTACTAAGGAGTAGTGTAACATTAACTGTTTATACGATAAACACGATTTGGAAATGCCATCATAATCAACTAACCATTTTTATCATTAACACAATTTAAAATAATCTAGATTAAACCAATTTAAATATTTACTAAGCGAGTTTCATCACAACTGTATATCAGTCAGAGATTCTTCTTAACATTTCACAACTTATCATAAGATAACCCAATAAGATTTATTTCAAAATTGATTGTTGCAGTTAACAGATCTTATTATTTGCTCATCTTTAATACCAGACTTCCTAAAGTTAGAGATAATTCGGACCTCATGATAACTGCCTTAACTCGTAAACCAACATTTCGTAGTGGCTCAACTCATAAAATTATGAGTTGATGATGAAGACTTGAGTGTAAAAATCGCTGGAAAAGATTCATAAAGTTGGTTGACTATCATTTTCAAAAGTAAATTTATCTCATTTTTAATCCATATTTAAGTAAACACTTATTTCAATTCACACACTTACAATAGAACCTTTTATTAAGTAAACAGATTACAGGTGAAATTTTTTTCAAACAGATATTCGATTATTTACTTTATGAGTACTTTTATCAACACGGTTACACTATTCAAGGTCATAATTACTTAAGTAAACAAAACTATTAAGTGAAATACATATATAGTTACTAAGCTGTTTTCTAGTTAGATACGTCCTGTATAGAGATTGAAATTAAAAGTACTCTGAGTATAATTAGACAAAAATTATTTGTTTTATGAAAACCAGACTGGACGATGTCTACTTCATGTTTATAGCAAAAAGGGTCGAGTATGTAGCAACAGCAGGGATTCAATTGAATATAATCTAGTTAAATGGATGTTTTAATCGAGATTTGTATAATTTGGAAGACCGATTTATTTAACGACTCATTGCAACTATCTACAGCTATCAAGTGAATATTATATGATGGATTTATCACTCAGACCTAATTACCTAATTAAAACACATCAATCTTAATAAACGTTTAACATATATTGTCCTAAACTGTCATTACCTTATCAGTACGACGAGATGTTATATAATAGTAATCAATGAAGAGTTGCACAAGTTCAGTGATCAATTTAAGTTAAGCATACACAAAGACGGATATCAGATCAGCAGTCTAGAGGCTAAATGTTAGCACACGAGACCGAATGTTTTGGATCGGAGTCTTTTAATTGTGGGATCGTGAATGCGCACTACTGAGGAGTCCTGTACGATGACGGAAAGGCTGTCCAGTGCTTGCGATTTCTGAATGGTAATCTAGCTTATCATGACTCATAAATTCGATTGTTAAAATACTACAATCTCCATAAATCCTCTTTCTGCTAACATGAAAAGATGTGTATGAGCGCAAACTGAAATTTAAAATCTAAGAAGACGTAAAAAGTGAATGCATCTGTTTTGTTGTGACAAATTTTCAATCATGTTATCCAACTTCTATAACCACCGATTACAGTTATATCACAGATATAATTACAATTGTAAGTCAACAATACTTTTATCATTATCAACATTATATTATACTTACTTGTTTTAGAATTAGATCTATCTGATTTTTTTGTAGGCGTCACTAAATCCACACGAGAAGGTTTCGATCCATTATTACTAATATTATTATTGTTATTATTAGGTACTGGAAACATTGAAGGCAATAATTGTTTCAGTATACGCTTATGACCAGGTTTTAATTTATTTTTTACTTGTTCATCAGTATTATTGAATAGTTTCACGTTTGATACAACTGGAGATGTACATGATAATTTGTCTATTTGATAATTGGACATAAATAATGGACTACCAATTGGGGATTGAAAAATTTCATGTATATTATTTCTGTTTTGATTTGTATTCATGGTAAAATTAACAGCAGCACGTGAACGACCTCGACGATTGTCTACTGATTTCTGATTAGTTATTAGCATTAAACGTGAAATTAATGGCCATCTTTGATCATCAAAATAATCATGAGTTAATTCTAAAAATGATGCTAATGTATGATGACATATTTGAAGAAATGTATTTGGATGAGTCTGTTGAAATAAACCAATCAAATGCCATGCTTCTTCATTTTTAATACCATTGACTAATCGATCTGCTCGGTGCAACATTCGAGACTAGTCAATAACAAATATACAGGATGAAAGAACAACAAAGTTTAGTTTGAGAATGGGAAGTATTCAATATAAAATCTATTTAATTTGAAAATATCCATGTACATCTATGAAATCAACATGAGTGAGAATCGTGATCAAAAAGAATAGTTTCTAACACTGGGTATTTTTTTACAAATACCTGTAACCAATTTACTGTGTACAAGTTTATCCACTCAGTTTTGATACCGTGAATGAAACTTTTTCATTTACGATAATATAACTGAAAATTAATAACTTCAATTATCAAGCCACAAACTATCCCATATACATTGTTCTGACACATATGCTTTGTATACTGATGCTTATTTTATGAGGATCATTAATCACACCACAACTAACAATAAATGATAATAATATTGATTTTATGATATTTTCAAAACACATTTCTTTCCTCTGTGCATTACATTTATACAATTATTTCTGTTCTAGTTTACGTTACTAAGACATTGAACAAGTCTACTGTTTGTTTTCATACATGATTTATAATTAAATAAAAATTGATATACTGAATGAATGTAAATGATATTACAATAGATTACAGTTAGAACACCTTTTAAATAAGATATCCATAGACAATGGTATGTATTTTATGTCTATGATGAATATATTTCAACATGACAAGTATACATAAATAATTTCATGTATATATATGTAGATATAAATAACCGACAATTGGCACGTGTTTTGATTTAGTCACACCATTAATGCACACATACTTTTGTTTTAATATAGATACAAGGTATGAAAATTAAGATTATTCCCATGAGACATTAACACCTGCTTTCTATCTCAAAACTTAATTACATTTGTCTGATTTGTTTTTGGTGTTATGACTAGTAATTAATATAGATTTTAAAAAAATACAGATAATCCTTTGAGAAAAACCAGACCATAATATTTGATATGTTAATAAAGAAGAGAATAAGAATATATAGGAAATATAATAGAAGAACCATCTACGTAATCATGACTTGATACTTATGTATAAAACTTGTTTACCGTGTTTACCGTATATATATATATATATATATATATATATATATATATATATATATATATATATATATATATATATATATATATATATATAATTTACATCTGAGCATAAGAAATATATTTGGCTCATTAAGAGCAATTAAAGCGAGATGCAATTGGAAATAGCAATTACAGTTGTCTGACTGAGATAATATTGGTTGCTGTATCCTGATACAACCTCTTTTGTATTACTATGTTACTGACCATAACAAATTAAATAACTAATTATTATTAGTTTTGTGAATAATTCTAATAATACTATTCACTATTTTACAAATAATTGATTGGTAGCAAGTTCAGATTCAAAAGTAAATCCACATACTCATTTGAAGCCATCATAGGTTAATATGACATTGTTTTTGCTTTATCGTTTATACTTTAAGATATTGAATAATTTTTTAGAATTTTGTATCCACTTATAACATATAACCATCCATTCTAATACGTTTTTCGCTTATATTTTTAGCTACTTACAAGTAGTATCAATTGTAAGCTTCTAATTCTTCAGAAATTTTTTATAAACTAACATTTGGTTTTTACTCACTTAGTGGAATATTACAGCTTTGTATGAAACTGACGACCTCTTAGTATAGAATCAATGGTTTTATCACTAAGCCTACTTTGAGTAATAGTGTCTATGGTAATCGTGACTGGACATTTATTCGTCAAAATACTTGGCATTTACTGGCTATTTCAAAGCATATTACACCCACTTCTATTTGGACAATCTAGCATTATGAAAAGATATTAAAATAATTGTAGTTCATAGCCTTGCTCATAAACCAATACTTAGTTACATATTGCCAGTAATTTATCAAAAATGTAATTATTTGAAAATGTTAACTTAACAACAGACTGATTACTTACCCGAATATCATCAGACGTAGTCATTGGTTAGATCCAATATAATTATAAATCCACAAAATAAATATGAATATGTGCTGTATTTACGGAGGAAGTAGATAAACTAATAACGTCCTAATGAAAGTTTTGAAAATGATCAGGTGTTTATGTCTTATATATAATCTTATTGGTTATTTTGATTGGTTGATGTCAGTTTTCTAATTATTCCATTTTGATTGGTTGATGGATTATTCCTATCCCTTTACTTCTTACAAAAGATAGGGGGAGCAAATGAATTAATTATTGGTGTATTTCTAATAGGCTAAAAAAGGAAAAACGTAAAAAAATAAGTAAATGGGAAGTAAAAGAATCAATGTCCATTGCCATTGAGCAGAAAATATTGATGTTATCTAGAACCGTAAATTGACGACTGTTTTGTTCTGGATATTGCAACATTGTGAATCACCGAATCAAATAAAGAAATTCAAGTTAAATATGATTTATGAATCGGGGAAGTTTTGATTTAACTACTGGTCTAAGTGACTTATCATTTTTGTACTATGTTGTAATGTTAGATAGGCTGAGGTAATCGATAGGAAACCCTAATTCATGAAATTTGGCGCTCCTCAACAAGGCGCATCTTTTATTAAGGGACTGGTGGTTCCCTTTAGATTCAAACAGGTGTCACGCAACTTAACAGTTTGAGGTGTTATCAATGAACTAATCAGACTACGACGAACCTTCTGAATGACTGGGATATTTACAACTAATCGGTCACTGAATAAAGATTTTGGGCTAGTTGGTACACGTCAACAAGTTGTATGAACAATGTTCATTATGCTAGTTACTACTAGACATACATAACATCAGAGTTCAATCAGCATGCATCTCATCTCTTTGTTATATTTTAACTGTATATCAAATGGAATGGCCTTAAGGTACCACTAAACTATTAATTAGTTCAAATCACTTTGTATTTTGCCAACTTCCCTTCAGTCTTTTTTAAAGTAAATATAGGAACTTTAGCCGAATTAGCTTTAAGCTCATTTCTATGCTGATGAATAATAGCAATTACGAGGCCCAATTTCAGAGCTTCTCGTCGATATACACACCAATCACCAAGATGGGAAGTGTTAAATTTTTAAATGGAAGATTTAAATTCCATTGTAACAGACTTCCGACAATATATTCATTATACTATTCAAACATAATGACAAGAGTACATTCGAATATATCACATTCCATAAAATTAGCGTTTACAACTATCCTACATGATATCAATTTGATTTACTTATTTAATTATTCACTATTGTTACTTATAATGATAATTATTAATATGCTCGTTTGTTTTTCATTGTATATACATTTTTTTCAACTTAACTTTCATAGTGAAGTGATTTCCAGGGCGGATTAATAAGTTGTTTACTTATACCTATAGATTAGTCACATGATTAGTGTTGGAATTCAACATTGTAAATAGATACAGTACAATTTATCCTGTTATAGACTTTAAATGTATTCAGTTAAAGAAAAAGTAATCGTCAATAAAATAAACGGCTTTTTTTTCTAATGAATAATATTAAAACAGATTAGTTTTACTTCATTTAGGCTTAACTACTTTATTTCCTGTCTTATAGTTTACATATTGATATATTTATATCCCTAAATTTAAATGTTGGGCATTTTTCAAAAGAAAAGAAGTACTTAAAACTCTAGACAAGTATATTTATGATAAAGTCTATTCGACTATAATGGTGTCAATAGAACTGTAAACATTATTGATATTATTTGACTGAATGGCTACTAATATATGATCTGACTTGATTAGTTCCGTTCCTTTTATGATGATTCAGATTTGTTCCATTAAACAATTATGTTCTATTATCACTGATTGGTATAAATACATGCAGTTTGAAGAGAATAATTTATCGTTGTTTTAAAAAGCTTTTTTTCTTTATCACAAAAAAGAACTATATATCATATTTGTAATGGCTAATATGTTCCGGTGTGTGATGCTGAGGATTGCAATTAATCAATCTGTTCTGGTATGTGCGCATCCAGTTCGAACTATGTCTCGATATTGCTATATGGTTTAAAGCTTTTAGTAAAGTTTAAAAGTGGCTAGTAGTGGGACACAGAACAAGCGTTTCACCCTATTCAAAACTTAATAGCCGGATGTGTTTGTACCCCTGTGTTGATATTTACAGTGAGACTCGAACTCAGTATCTTTTGCTCCAGACGTTGATGTCTAATCCACTAAGCCAATAAATTTGGACAATTATTAGTTTATAACGGGTACAAATAAGTAAGAGCTTGTATTATCCCGTTGTTGATGTTAAGGATAATCGGAGACGATTAATGAAAAGATCATGGATTGCTACTTTTCACCAATTATCTTGAATCACATAAGAATAAAAAATCAAATATTTAAATATATGTCATCGACTCATATAGTTAGATAAAATTCTCCACAATAATAACGGTTAAACAATAATTTACTAAGTGATTCACATCAATTATGTAGAATTTATCTACTAAAAAGAATTTGTTTTAAACAATATTAAATATATAGGTTATATTCGTAATAAATAGATCCCAAAAAGGCGCATCGCTGAAGACCAGGGAGCACCTGACGATTTTTTTCATCCAAGTATATAACCCATAACTCCGCCTGTAACTCTTCCAGAGTTACTGCCGGTCCCAAGCCCGGGTAAAGGAGGAGGGTTGGGCATGGGGTTAGCGTCCCCATCCCGTAGAAACCTAACTCGCTAAAAAAACGCTAACCAGAAAAAATAACTCAAACCATTTAAACCCTGCCCTGGGAGTTAGAGGTAATATGACGCTTCATGGTGAAAGCCGAGTTCCTTCGGAAGCCACGAGGCCGATGCCCCTTCTAACAACCAGAGCAACAATTTTTATAGGTACATGGAACGTCCGGAAATTGTGGGAGACCGGGAAGACCAGTCAAATAGCAACGGAAATGAGGAGATACAACTTGGCAGTACTGAGAAACAGCGAAACCCATTGGACCCAAGCTGGACAACAAAGGCTAAGTACGGGAGAGATGCTGCTATACTCCAGTCACGAAGAGGAAAATGCTTCACACACTCAGGGAGTTGCTCTGATGCTGTCCAAAGTAGCACGAAATGCACTTGTAGGATGGGAATCTCACGGATCCAGAATCATCAAAGCATCATTCAAAACAAAGAAGGAGGGGATCACAATGAACATTATCCAATGTTATGCACCTACCAATGATAGCAACGACGACGTTAAGGATCAATTCTATGAGAGGCTGCAATCAATCATAGAGAAGTGCCCAAGAAAGGACCTCACCATTCTGATGGGAGATCTAAACGCCAAAGTCGGAATGGACAACACCGGATATGAAAATATCATGGGACTGCATGGACTGGGAGAGAGAAACGAAAACGGGGAAAGATTTGCAAATCTGTGTGCATTCAATAAATTGGTCATAGGCGGTACAACATTTCCACACAAACGTATACACAAAGCTACGTGGATCTCACCGGACCACACCACAGAGAACCAGATAGATCACATTTGCATCAATAAAAAGTTCCGAAGGACAATGGAAGATGTGAAAACCAGGAGAGGAGCGGACATAGCTTCAGATCATCACCTAGTTGTGGCCAAATTGAAATTGAAGCTAAAGAAGAACTGGACAACTGGACAAACAGCACCACAAAGGTTCAATACAGCCTTCCTTCGAGATACTGACAAACTCAATGAATTCAAGATAGCTCTCAACAACAGGTTCCAAGCCTTACAGGATCTACTGAAGGAAGAAGAAACTACTATGGAGGATAGCTGGAAAGGTATCAAAGAAACATTAACTTCAACGTGTCAAGAGGTTCTGGGCCCCAAGAAACATCATCACAAGGAATGGATCTCTACAGAAACACTGGACAGGATCAAAGAAAGAAAGAACAAGAAGACAGCAATTAACAACAGTCGAACAAGAGCAGAGAAAGTCCAAGCACAAGCAGAGTACATAGAAGCAAACAAGAAAGTGAAGAAGAGCATTAGAGCTGATAAGCAAAAATACGTGGAAGAACTAGCAACGACGGCGGAAAAAGCTGCAAGAGAAGGAAATATGAAACAGCTTTACGATACGACGAAGAAGCTTGCAGGGAAATACAGTAAACCAGAGAGACCAGTCAAAGACAAAGAAGGAAGACCAATCACTGAGATTCAACAACAGCGCAACAGATGGGCAGAGCACTTCGAGGAACTCCTGGACAGACCGGCTCCAATGAATCCACCGGACATCGAAGCAGCACACACAGATCTTCCTATAAATGTCAATCCACCAACGACAGAAGAAATCAGAATGGCCGTCAGACAAATCAAGAGCGGGAAAGCAGCAGGACCTGACAATATACCAGCTGAAGCGTTGAAGTCAGACATCGAAGTAACGACAAGCATGCTTCATCTTCTATTCAAGAAGATTTGGGAGGAGGAACAAGTACCGATGGATTGGAAAGAAGGACACCTCATCAAGATTCCAAAGAAAGGAGATCTGAGCAAGTTTGAAAACTACAGAGGCATTACACTACTGTCAATACCGGGTAAAGTCTTCAACAGAGTGTTACTGAACAGGATGAAAGACGCAGTTGACGCTCAACTTCGAGATCAACAAGCTGGATTCCGTAAGGACCGGTCGTGCACAGACCAGATTGCGACACTAAGGATCATCGTCGAACAATCAATTGATTGGAACTCGTCACTCTACATCAACTTCATTGATTATGAGAAGGCATTTGACAGTGTAGATAGGAGAACATTATGGAAACTTCTTCGACACTACGGAGTTCCTGAGAAGATTGTCAACATTATCCGGAACTCATACGACGGACTACAGTGCAAATAGTGCATGGAGGACAGCTGACAGACGCATTCCAAGTAAGGACCGGAGTCAGACAAGGCTGTCTACTCTCTCCCTTCCTGTTTCTTCTGGTGGTCGACTGGATTATGAAGACCTCGACATCTGAGAGAAACTACGGCATACGATGGACAGCTCAGAACCAATTAGACGACTTGGACTTCGCAGATGACCTAGCCCTCCTATCACATACACACGAACAAATGCAGATAAAGACAGCCAGCATAGCAGCAGTCTCTGCAT